TGTTTGAAATTAATAATATGAAACTTTTTAAAACATTCTACAGTCCTGCATTGTTAACAATATGACTTGCTGATGAGAAAATATACCACAAAAAACGGGTACTAAGTGTCAAGCACGCGTGACTTGAATTGAGAGGCAATCTCCCTCATTAATAACTGATTCAGTCTTGTCTGACAACACAAACATCCTGTCCTCATTAAGCTTCTCACAAAATGAGGAAGTTTTGTTTTTATTGTTAAGTTTTATACTGCTCCATATGGAAACCTTAATTAAGAATGCCTGTAACTTTACAGGAAGCACTATGAGCAGATATTCAGTACTAGGCAGCCCTTTGAATGATAATTCATGTTGCTTGCAGAAGCTTTAAATCTGCAAATCACAACTTCATGAATTTATACAGAACAAGCAAACCAGGAATGCAAAACATTCTCTGGAATTTTGACTAAACCTATAACTGAGAGAAAACACACATGTGGAATGTGGTCTTTTGCCATCCTCAGCATACCATGCTGAAGGGTGTTTTCCTTGGGTGTGGAAACATGGGATATCTCACAATTTCTTAAGGTACCCTGAACTGGTCGGGCACACTCTCATCTACACAGGGCAGTTAAAAAAAATATCTTTTCAAGAGACTTGACACAAAGGAAATCAAATGGTTTTATGACAGTGAAATATGAATGAGATGAACAGAACACAAAGTACATATTTCTATTGAACATGTGCCAGTACCTTTTTACTCCAAGCAATTAGGTATCAGCCCCAGAAATGTTGTTTTAGTCACAGGGTAGAATGGGTAAAGTGAGATTCTATTTTCATTCCCAAGTGCAACACTCATGCTCACTGGTATCCCTTCTTATTAGCTTGAAAAGCTTGTGTATTTTCACAAGAGTGTAACACACAGACACGAAAGCACATCATGGAAATTATCACATGACACCTTTCAGACTAACCACACAACAGAATAGCTGCAAGTCCAAGGGAAAAAAATGATGAAAAAAAAATGAGAAAGAATATACGCACAGAAAATGAAACTTAGTTCAGTTTGGGATTAAGGATTCACAGAAACACACAGAACTGTGACGATCAGACGCTTTACTCTCTTTGCTATGTACATAAACATTCTGCAAGGCAATTATAATATTATTTATTAGCAATAATTTAAGAAGTCAAGTGAATCGTAATCAGATCCATTCATATCAAGTGTGGTTTAATCTGGTCTGAGCTTTTCAGTTCAATGTCTTCACATATTCTATGCAAAATGGGAAAAGTTCTATGAAATACAAATGCTGATACAGCATGTTCATGTCAATTGTGGAGAAAACCTTGAACCAAGAACTTGGCTAACGGAAGTTGGCCACTAAAATATTACTCACTCCGTTGCAAGTCCATAAATAAAAATTACAAAATAAAGAATAAATACAAGAAGGGTTTCATTGTACTTAAAAAAATCAATTAAAAGGTCAAGAAGTAGGAGTTGCTCATTATGTATAACAATGATTATCATTTTAATCCACAAGGTACATTCCAAAAAAGCCAGATCTGTTTTCATAAAATTCATTGAAAATTTTGAATATTAAAGCCAAATGCGCTATTTTAAAAAAAATAAGAATTGACCACTTTCTAATCATAGAAATAAATGCAATATTTTGCTTTGAGCTGTGGAGAAAATGATTTTGATTCTCATAATTACTAGGTTCACATTATAAAAACAATAGGATAACAGAAAATGGAAAAAAAAGGACACCGTTTTAAAATAGGAAAACATTGATGAGCACCAGTTAAGGGCAAGAAGGGGTACCAGAAATCACACTGGAGCATACAGTCCAGCACAGGATACACACATACATTCGCATTCACACAACACTCACACAACACGCACACTATATCACACAGGCGCACACACACACAGACACACATGCTCTCACAAGTACACACTCAAGACTCCATAAAGGTACTTCACATGATGCGGCACATAACAAGTCCTCACACATACTGTATTATTACAGTAACAGAAACAAACAACAATCATGTATCCTAAGTTTATGATGCAGATTTTTTTTTCCCATTTTGGTCTTAGCATGTTTTATTGGGTATGAGAGCAAGTCTTGAAAACATAACAATCTCAGTCGGCGCTGCTATCACAGGACTGCCACCATCCATCTCCTTCACACTCGCACGGATGTGTATAATATGTAGAATATATTTGAAGGAAGAGTATTTCCAACTGTTTCAAATAACAATTTAAAAATGCTTCCTTTTCAAACCAAGTCAAAGGCAAGGCTAACAATATGATAACAATTGGAGAACTGGAACGATTTCACAGCTCATAACAGGGGCCCCCGAATCAGAACGGCAACAAGCTTACACCACATACCGTCAGAAAATACAGTAACACGTATGTAGCAACCACAATTGCTCTGCCTAGGTTTCGGCACTCCTCCCACTAATGGTACATCCTACAGGTCAGCGGTTATCACATTTCCACGTACCATGTACACTACAAAAGGGAAAAATTGGTAAAAAAAGGAAATTTACATACACTCTATGTATACATTAGGAAGGTGCCCAACCTCCCTTGACAACATTTTAGCTGGTACAAAAAGTCTGAAGTAGTTAAAGAGTTGGAATTGCTAATACACCTGGACAGATCTTGTTGCCACTCCACGTCGAGATACCTGCCTAGCAAAATAAGGGTTGCCAGGTGGCTATAGGCAGCTAGTCCCAAAAACTTGCAAAAACTTAATAACAAAATGCTGTACACGTTTGTATATACACACTAAACAAAGTACTTCGTCAAAATATAAATTGAAGATTTTTTCCTTCTTTTAGTAAGGTTTTAATAACTTACATGCCAGTCCACCTTAACTGTAATTTGCTGAAGTATCTAGCAAAGTAATATATGCAGATTACTTAAGTGGAACACATCAGAGGAACCAATCAGACAACCCTTCACTACAACAAACCTTTTGATACTGTTGCTTTAAGATCACTAACAAACCATTTTCTGACAAGTTCATTTAAAAACAAAATGAATGAATTAAAAAAAGGCAAAGTTTAAAATTTTTACTGATATTTGAGGACACTCAGTTGTATTTCCCAGCTCTGCTGCCCGCAGAACAGAACTGAACACAAATGCACAGAGTCTGGCTAGTGCATTTCAGAGAGCAGCCTACTCATATTGTCTAACTAGTTTTTTTGGCGTTACAAAATGTGATTCACTTTCTTGCTGCACAACACAAGGCAGTCACTATGATGAGCTTGATTGATTCATTCCAGTAAACATTCCAGAACTGAATGAAGGCTGTGGTTGGATGTGCTGAATTTGCTGCTGCTGCTGCTGCTGTTGCTGCTGCTGCTGTTGCACAGCCTGGATCTGGTGACTGCTGGTCTGGCGCCCACTCTTGGGCACTGGGGGCTGGAGATATTCGTGCCGCGCCAGCGCAAACACGTCAATTCGGTCCTCTTTCCGATAGGCCAAACAGCTACGAATGAAGCTCTACAAAGAAAATAAAAAAGACATCCCAATAAAGTTTACGGCTTTGCAAAAACAGAATCAAGAAAAATATTGGTTTGTAAGAAATTTTACCTTGGCCTCAGTGCTCACAGTAGGTTTGTTGGCAAACTGGACTTCTGTTGCCTTCAGAATGGTGTTTTCTTCCAAAATGGTAGCTTGTGATTGATTATGTCCAAATGGCTGCAATGAGTTTAGATTGGAATAATATTAACCACATGAAAAAAGGGACAAAAATACGAGAAAAATTATCAATAAAATAATGATATTTACCTTTTTGCCATATAAACATTGATAAAATATAACACCAACACTCCAAACATCAACTTTGGAAGATATTTTTGGTGGAGTTTTCCCTACTACAAAACATTCTGGAGGTAAATACCTAAACAGACAAAACCAAGTTTAAAAACAAGCCAAGTAGTCTAAGATAATACCAGAAATCTAAAAAAGTCAAACTTACCAATAAGTGCCAGCACCCTGTGAGGTTAAGTCCATTCCATGGTCAGGATTGTAATTTTCCTCATCCATGACTTTACTTAACCCAAAGTCTGTGATTTTAATTTCACCACATACATTACCCTCTGTCAACAGAATATTTCCTGTAATAAAAAAAAAGCAAGTTGTTTGATTAGAAAAATATAATGAGAAAAAGACGTATTGAGAGCAGAAAGATAACATTTGAAAACATCTACTGACCTGGCTTGAGATCATAATGGATCACAGGTGGTTTGATCTCATTAAGGTACTTTAGGGCTGAAACAACTTGCATCACTATTGATCTAGCCTCTCTCTCTGCTATTGTTTTGTGCTGAAAATTAAAACAACAAAGAGAGATAAAATTTAGAAGAGGACAAAATAGAGGAAAACAGCAATTAAAAGTCAATAAAAGAATGTGTGCATTACCTGTTTCAAATAAAAGTCTAGATCATGACCATCACAATATTCAAGTACTGTACAAAATGAGTTAGCATCTATTTCAAACACATCGTACAGTTTCACAACCCGTAGATGATCCAACAGCTTATGAATGTTGTATTCCCTAAGTGCATGCCTGCAGAAAGAAACACATCAGATGATTAGGAAGTGCTTAAATGCTTGGTGTCATCTACAAAAAGATCAAAGTTATAAGTGGATAGAGTATTTTCAGAACTTACTTAATGTAATTTGCTTTCTTATCTTCTTTCCAGTCTTTATTCAATTGATGAACTTTGCATGCAACATACCGCTGCTCTTTCAAATCAAATGCCTGAGGGAGAAAAGCAGTTGGATCACACAGAGCAAGAGGCTGAGGAACACACAGGTACTTCACAATGAACACTATGCTCACCTTATGCACTTCACTAAACCCTCCTTTACCAAGTAACATGAGTAGGAGGTACCGTTCGTTGAGAACAGGGTGATTGTTGAAGCGGCTCTGATCTTCATTGTGAATTCGCTTTAACTCACGAATGTGCAGATTTCGCTCCCTCTCTAACTTTTCCATCTCTAACTGCAAATCAGCATCCTCCTTTTTCAGAGCAGACTGCCGTAGTTTGAGAATTTCATCTGCTTCATAGTACTCCTGCATTGAGAACCCAGGTAATGCCTCAGGTTTCAGGAAAGTAGCAGTATCAGTGCCATTGTGAAGCGTTGTGGTTCCAGTGTTGGTGGTTGCAGGATTGGAATTGCTTCCACCAGCCTGAACAGGGGGTGTTGGTAAAGGAGTGCCAGTGGTGACAGTAGTTGCAGTTGTCTGCTGCTGTGTCTGCTGGGCATTAGTATTATTATTTCTCTTGCCTCTTCCAGTCTCATTAGTTGGCCTTTTCTTCAACAACATTTTCTTTTGTTTGTCTATTTCTTCTCTCTCCGATGAAATTTCTTCTTGCCGCCTGAAACAGGGAAAATTGTGGTTAGCATTTTGGAAACCTGTCAATATCACAAACCAACATCACAAAAAGTGAAGCACAGTACCTTGCTAATTCTTGAAAAGCATAACCATCAGTCCAGTTCTCTTGGAAAGTGGCACCTACTCTCTGTGTAACAAACTGGCCAAGCCGCAACCGATTTTGCATGCATCGCTGACGTGCTTCTTTCTTTTCTATATTTGACTTTTCTTTTAATAACTTTGTCACTACATCGATACATTTTGCAACATGAGCTTTATGCTGGTCCATTTGTTTTTGTTGTGCACTGATTGTATGTCTTAATTCATCTGACGTCTGAAGAAAGACAAAACACAAGTTAGCTGAATGACAACAGGGTAACAAAGGTGTATTTGTCAAAATTAGATAACACTTACTCTAGTTAATTCATCTATTTTGGTGTTTCTTAATTCCAAATCAGTTGAAGCCTGTGTCTCGAATTCTTGTATCCTTTGGCAAGTCAGCTCAGTCTGAAACAGAATAAGAAACAAAACTGCTGTAGGGCAGGAAAAGCCAATCACAAATGTAAGCACTTCATATCTCTGAACCCATGAACTGGATTAGACTAAACACTCTAAAGTACAGGATGTACTACAAAAATAATTTCACAATCCTGTACATTCTGAATGACAAGCAAACTTAGTTCAGTAAGTGAACACAGGCTGACATTAATAGTCAGCACAGAAAAGAAAAACAAACCCTATCAAGAATATAACAGTAATGGTCCAGTAATAAATCCATTACAGCTACATTGTATAAACACAAGCCCACTTTGTATTATCTTGTGTTTCAAAGTTCTCAAATGATCAACAATACAATACTAATAATTAAATAGACTTATTGAGTTGAAAACATACCTGGACTTGTTTGCTGATCATATTATTAGGGTTAGGGTGCTGCCTGGGAGGGTGCATGAGACTAGCGTAATCACCTGTCACTACAGGTGGTACTGTTTGCTGGGGGGAGGGTGGAAACTAGAGGGCAAAATAATAAAAAATTCAGTGACAAAGCGTGAAAATTTTCAATGAGTTCAGAGAAATTAAAATAGTATGCTTACCATGGAGTAACCTTGTTGAGGTGAAGGACTCTTGGCCCCACCATGTCGAATAGGGCTTGTTCCAGGAGGATGGGGTGTGTGCATCGGGTGCTTCACAAAATAGTCATTTATCTTTTTAGTTTCTGGAACTGTTCTGCTTCCTCCTTTCGTTGATACAGCAGTACCTCCAGGACCACCAGCCGGTCCACCAATTGATCCCGGACCCCCTATGTCATCTGCTTTTCTCTTTCTTTTTCGGTCAGAAGGTGTTCGAGCTTGCTGATGTTTCTCTGGAGTATTACCATCAGTCTCTTTATCACTGTGGGATGACCCTAAAAGAGACCAAAGAACAATTTTGGACAATGTTCCAACTTAAAACATCAGATTATACTGAACAGAAACACTTCTTACCTGTACTCATGTTTGAGTCCTGACTATGTACAGACTGGCCTGAATTCACAGTGGATTGTGGTGCCATCTGAATTTGTGAACCAGCTGACATCTGGAGAGGAAGAAAATACAATTTTTTTAGAAACAATGAAAGTTGACACAATGATCCCACTTCAGAGTACAGTTCAAAATTCTTCACATAGAACAAAGAAATTACATCCACAAGCACAATGTAAACAGTGAAATAAAATCCCTAGTCATGCTGGGGATATTTGCAGCCGAAAGAGAGACCAAAACTTTAAATAGTTTACAAAATAAGCAGGATGTGTTTACTGTACACATCATTGACTGTCTCCCTACATTTCTCAACAACTACACACTTCACAGAGTGGAGAAACACACAGGGCGGTTTGTAAAGACCAGCCGAACAACGACGAGAAATACTTAAACGTCGCATCAGAAACTAGCCCACAGTATCGTACTGACCTGCTGGTACAGCCTACATAGTGAAAAGTGAGGTTAGGTTGCCTTCTCGGTCGCCGTAAATACTCAACTGAGGGCACGTTAAGGGCACATTTACGAGTCGAGGACACATCACAATCTGGCCTACAGTTCCCAAATGTCCTCAGACACACAGAAACCATCGGGGCGGCCCGAGCGGACGGCCAAACATACTAGGCCTGGCCAATTTTAAGTCGAGTTGTGGCTCGGGGCTGGGAAGCTCGGGCAGAAGGCAGGTGGGCAGCCGCAGGGGCCTCGGACACCGGCGAGTCCCCCCGGCGGGCGCACCGCCACGACACCCTGCATTTTCACGATTTTAACTACACATAAAGGGTTCACTTCGATTTCGATGTATGCTACTTGACGGCAGACAGACGGACGGACTGTACTGTCGGTAAAAAAAAGATGGTGGACAGAGACGGAACAATCAGGGGAGGGGGAGGGGGGGATACAGGAGCATGGGCCGCAGAGGGGAAGGGGGAGGAGACGGTTAAAGGGAGAAGAGGGGGTGGGGGTGAAGAGGGGCGGGTAAAGAGAGGACTATCAAAACTTTCCCTTCCTCAGCAGCAGTGCAATAGGATGTCCTCGGGTTACCCTAGGAACGTGCTAATATGATCCACTCAGTGATTCATGACGGCAAATAAACAGAATAATAACAACTCGAAAAAAAGAAAATACGCAAGCAAGTCTGCAATGAAATGCGTCACCGGTGAAAAGGGTCGAGGGATGAAACAACAAAGTGGCCCTACGAGAATTTCATGATGGTCTGACTTCCACACAGCTGCATAAGTAATTGTACTGTAGATTACCAGCCCCGCGCGCGCACACACCAAAAAAAAATAACAGCTCGTACTCCCGAGGAAACATTAGCTTCCCTGACCTAGGCCACAGCCAGCCGCGTTGTGACTCAGACAAGACAATAAGGGGGGCCCTCTCCTCATCTCCCCGCCGGCGATATAACGCAGCGACCCCGAAGGGTTGCACTCTCCAAACACAACTTGAATTTCCGCGCGCACCGGAAGTTTAAGCCTCTCTCGAATCCTGTAGCCCCATTGGCCCAGTGCGGCGCGCGTCCGCCAACCAGCAGAGAGGCAGGCAACAAGATGCGAGGTTGCCACTTGCCACTGCCATCTTTGCGGGGCGGGGGGCCGGGCGGGGCGGATCACACGCAGAGCGACGCAGAGCCGAGATGCGGCTCGTTTCCGGCCGGGTCTGTCTGCCTGCTGCCCGGCCCGATCACCGGTGATTGACCAACAAAATGACCACCGCCACACGGCCCGCCGAGCCGCGTCGAGCCGAGCGACTCCTCGAACGAACATCGACACGCTAGCAGCATCGATAGGCCCCCGCCGAGGCGTGGCGGGGCGCGGCGGGGAAGGGGGAAGGACGAAAAGGAATCAGAGGAGGAGGGGGAGGAGGAAGGAGAGGCGCCTAGCGCCGCGCAACGGCAGGGCAAAGGCAAAATGCACGACACCTACAGAAATAGTCCAACCCCTTTTGTTTTTCTTATTTTGTCCCTTTCGCCCTGACGAGCCGCTCCGCTGCGACGAGCTGCGACGACTAAACGAGTGAAGGACGCTGACGTCAACACACGGGGAGAGACAGGGAGCGCCAGGGCAGAGGACCGACATCAACAACTGATCAATACACCATTTGTCTGCAATTTTTTACAACAACCGCGACAGAGACCCATTAGCCTGCAGAAGCAGAAAGAGCAATCAAAAGGAGAATGTTATCGGGGCAGCTTTAAACGTGGCCGGGGCGCCGTCGACACCCCGACCGACGCCCCCGACGCCTGCCAGGGCGGGGTGGGCCGATCGGCCCAGGAGGACCACCCCCACCCCGCACGGCAATGTTGGGACCCTTTTTCGCAAATAGGTGGCGCGGCGGCGATGCTGCTGCTGCCGCGGGTGGGATGACTTGAATAGAAAACGCAAGACCTTCGGGGCGTGGGAAGAAGGGGGGAGGGGGAGGGTGCTTTAAATCGATAGTGTGGTGGAAGAAGGGATCGGGACGCGAGACCCAGGGGAGGGGAAAGGGAGGTGAGGGGCGGCGTGAGGGGGAGGGAGGGAGGGAGGGAAAGGGAGAGAGAGGGGGGGGGGGAGAGCGGGCGTGTTTGGTGATCCAGCCAATGACTCGAGTCCGGCCCGCGACGCAACGGGACAGCGCGGCCCGGCCACCACGAGGGCCTCGACAAAGTCCTCCTCCAGCCGTACCGAGCCGTTTGCCGACGGCGGTGTACTACTAACTACACCACGCCAAACACGCCCCTAACGCCCGCCACCGCGAGGGTTAACGCAAAAAGTTAAGCGCCTAAGCTCCGGCCGGAGAGCTACGCCACACCGCCGTTGAGACGTCGCGCAGGCGTCGAGCTACATGTGGATGGAATGAGGATCCTCGAGTCCACGGGTCTGGAACGCTTAGGGGCGCCCCCTGCTGCACCCCACCCTGACTAGTGTAGCCGGGCCCTCCTCGGGCCTCTGCTGCGGCCACTAGTGTAGCTAGGCCCCTTCCCCTGCCCCCCCCCCTCCCACTTCCCCGTCACCGAGTGCCACTACCGCCGCCGCCACCACCGTACCGTGGCCACCGCGAGCGGCGTTCGAAAACGCTCGCGGCCCCGCAAGAGCTCCGCAGGTCGGGTCGCCCGGTCGCCTCTGTCGCGCCTGTCATCAGCGCCAGTGTACTACTTCTCCGTCGCATCGGCGCCGAGCGAGGCGTCCCGCGAGCGAGCGCGACAGCGAGGCGGCCGTCATAGCTTTTGGGGGAGACTGTCCCGGAGGCAGCCCTCTCGCGGGTAGGCCCCGTGTGGGCCGTGGGCCGGCCGTGGGCCCCGGTGCTGGCCGCGGGCTGGCCACGTCAGACTGCAGCGTGTGGCGCGGGGACCCGAGCTGTGACCGCTATGCATGCGGCGATAATGAGAAATGCGCTAGTGCGACGGCCGATGACAAAACAGTCGAGGCACTTGGACACTCGAGACAGCGAGTGGCAAAGTTTTACCGGAGGAGGATGCGTCACACTGAGTCGGGAGACGCTCGCACTACGCTCGCTCGACCTTTGCGGCACACGAGCAGTCTCTCTCGCACTAATGGTTCAACGACATCACGACGACAGAAGAGAAGGCAATACGGCTACAAAAAGACCGCCTAAAACAACAAACAGGACGACACAAAATCTCAACCTCTTACCAGAAGCACATCGCAAAAACAAGAAAACTTTTTTAAAAGTGGGTCACACACGCACACACACAAACACACCAGCAGACCAAGGACGCGCGTGCACTACGACTCTAGCCCGCCCGTCCGCACCGCCCAGAGCTGTAATAATTGGGTCTGATCGAATTACGATTCAGTCCTGAATTATTATTCATGTGCGAACCGAACCGCTATTTGTGGCCCGCTCCGTTCCGCCCCGCCCCGGCGTGGACACCGAGTGCTCCACTTTTACCCGAGCCATATCAGCCGCAAGGAAACCTACACAGCACGCGGCTTTCGCCGCTCGTCTGCCGCGACCCGTCCGCCCCTCCCGCCCCGCACGTGTAGTACAACACCCACCGATCACACGGCTCTCTGCGTCGCTCGACAGAAAACTCGAGGCTCGTCGCCAGTCACAGCCGCCGATAGCTCCGACGTATGCACGTGTATTGCCCAACAAAACAACACGACTTGGCAGTGTACCGTACACAGAGAAAGCAGCTGAATGTGTTATGGCGGATATAATAGGTGGAGGAGGTGAGGGGGTGGGGGTG